GATACGGCAGCCAGATGAACCTTCAAGTGAGCAACCAACTTTCTCTAAGTGCAGTCGGTAACCCAGCAGAGACAGGGTCAGGGCCAGTTTCCTGCTATTTGTACCAGCAGCCAAATCATTTCCACTTGTTAAGGTAAATACTTGGAGTCGATTCCTTCCTGCGATTTAATAACGCCCATAGCATCCACAGGTGAGCTCCAGGCCTATGAGTCAGCAGCATGACCCAGTCAATTGCCATCGTGAGAGGGAAGTCATAGCAGCACAGCAGGTTGACTGCTGGATGAAGAGTTAAAAGCAGTAAGGGTTCCATGCTTGCCTAGACTGCACGGGGACGACCAGGCTAACCTCAGCCTGACCTCGGGAGTGCAGTGGGAAGACAGAGCCGATCCCTGCGCTTCTTGGGAGCCTCTCATAGCTCTGGGAGCTCTCCGTGCTGAGGAATGTCCAAGCATCAACTGTCGCTGCAGCCCTCCCCCCGCTGCTGCAGCAGCAGCATGCCGGCCACTGTGATCCTAGCAAGGCAGAAGCATTCCAAAGACTGGCGGTCTGTCCCCCACAGGAGCAGGTCTTTCACCCAGGAGCTTTGACAGGAGAGAGGTGCATGCTTTCAGGGCAATAGAGATCACAACACACTGAGCACAGCCATTGTGGGAGACTGGTGGAAGCCAGCTCTCTCAACAAAACAAACAGCAGAGTCCACACTGGCTCTTAGTCAACAGGAAAGGGAGGAGAAAAGACAAAAGTATTTCACAGGGATGGGTCACCAAAACTCAGGATTTTTCCCCAACAAAAGTCACATTGCAGTGTAAACGCTCTCACTGTTGTTGCCAAAAGGCAGTTTTTGGTGACAAAAGATGCCAATGTAGACAAGCCCTTAGTTGCAACAGTTTTGTAAAGCTGTGGGAAAAAAACCCTTTAAAATAGTAAATCTATCAGAAATCAATAGCAGAAAGAGCATGAACATTGCTTTAGATCAGGGCTACCCAACACGCGGCCCATTTGGCTGCAGGCCGCGGGGCAGAGTTGATAGGTGTTTTAGTAGTTAAATTCCTGGACTGTCATTGCTCATTAAAAGTGCTGTGATATGGGTGGAAATCAAGTAAATATTGTATTTTATTAATATCAACAGAACTGATTTAAATGGGGCCTGTGCATTGTGTAGTCTTGCCTTAACCTTTGTATTCATGTCAGTGTGAAAGAAGCTATTTGTATGTGTATGTAACCACACTTAAGTTGCAGCCCTCAGCATGTGCTGAGTATCAAGGTGCTAGTCTACCAGAACGACGGCATTAGTGTCAGTGCTAGCTACTGGGGGCACAGTGCAGATTTTTAGGACAGCTGCATTCCAAAAGAGAACCGATTACGATTAAGCAAAACAGTTTTTCCCATCTTCCTCTTGCAGAGGAAGAGAAGATGGTCCAAGTAGCCTTCAGAGTCATGCCAAACGCAAGAAGCTACCTGTAGCAATTCCAGGTGACAAGGCTTGGTGCTCTGATATCCATCCTAAAAAACACAGCACACAGCACCAGTGCAAGTAAAGTAAGAGAAAGAGGGAGCAGCTGTTATCAAAGCCAGATATTAAGCTGCTGCTGTTACCCAGGATCTCATCCCCTTCTAAAGAGGGGATATGCTTAGAGCAGGGTTTCCCAACCTATGGGTTGGGACCCACTTATGGGTCACCATTACATTTCAAAAGGGTTGCCAAGTGTCTCCCCAGGTGGCTCTGCCCTCCCTCCTCCCCCCGTTTTTGAATTGCCTTAGGTCACCAAGTCTTCCTGAATTGTCAAACTGGGTCACCACCTGGAAAAGTTTGGGAACTGCTGGCTTAGAGCAACATATTAGGAGATGCTACTCCAGGGAAGAGGCCCTGCACTCACTGAAGTCTGAACTGCAGGCCTTCTTCCCAGCTATGTTCCTGGGTTGGGTTAACATATCCCACATTGAGAGGGAGGCGGTGTGACGGGGCGCTCACACGCTGGTTTTGTCCTGGCGTGGGGGGGGGGGGGGGAAGAGGGGGAGCACCAACGCTGGGGCGGAAGCAGTGCGGCACCTGTTCCCAGGCATCCAGCTGGGGAGGAAGACTCCCAAAGCCACAGGGAAGGACGGGCAGCATGGAGCAAGGCACTCACGCTGTGACACGATGCCTGTGGGACATCCTGGCGGGGGATTTAAACCTGCCAGATGCTGGGAAGGGGGAGAAGACTCGGCGTGACATCTGCACCGCGCCAGGGTGCCTGCGTCAGATTCCAGCGGGTGAGAAACCCGCGGGACACTCAGGAGGATGGAGAGACGGGCCCTGCAGCCCCAGGTGTGAACACCCCAATAAGAGTGGACTTGGGGAAGAGGCATGAGACTCCAGAGCCACTTCTGCAATGAGAACCGCACCGAGATGGCCTGAGGGTAAGACTACACCATGTATAATGAATTGACCAAGCCCAGGGCAAGGAATAGGAAGTGGTCCAGGGCGGGGTGTTTTATGGCATGCAGGTTGACGTGTTTCGGGAGGATTCCCTGTCAACCAGGCAGGGGAGCCGTTGTGACCCCACCTTAGGGCTCTGGGACAGGACACTGAGGAGGAGGGTGGGCCTAGGTCCCCCTACTCTGCCTCTTGGGGCTGGGGATTGTGGACAAACGGGGACTCTGACTCAGAAGGACTAAAAGGTTGTGTCGGAGAGACAAGAGAGTCTGTGGGGATCGGCGGGCACCCACCCAGGCAGGGGTCCAGGGGCCGGACTCAGGGGTGGGTGGGGATTGAGCACTACTGGTGAAGCGGAAGTGGGGAAGGTATAAGGTAATAAACCTGTGGTGAACACCCTTCTAAGAATCTCCTTGTAACAGGAGGTACATTACTGTTCCTTGAATGAGACAGACCAGCCAACTAGCTGCACACACAGGTCCTCCAGGAGAATGTACACAAGTGAAAAGTGAGACGCTTCTGAGGAACAGCTGTGGAGAGTAAAGCAGCTACTTCAGGAAGAACAAGGAAACAAAAGAGTTGCCTCCGTCCCAAGCTTTGTTCCAGTAAGCCATCCGAATGCATGGTCCCCAAACACGTGGGGCACACCCCTCTGCAGGCACAGAGGAACATTTGAAGAGCAAGGCCAAGGGCCCACACCAGCCCCCATGGAGCAGGAAGGGAGCGCCACCCAGCTGTGATCTGACTGCAGTCACAGTTACACTCTGGCCCCAGCCAAACTATCCCCAGCCCCATCCATCACCAGTTCTCTCCCCACCACCTGCCTTCAGCCCAAGCCCCTCTGCTGAGGAAACCTTGGTGGCGTGGACAGATTCCATTACTGGTAAGGGGAAGGAGGAAGCACAAGAAAGTGTTTGGGCACTGCTGCTTTAGTACCTGCCTTGAAGCAAATGGCTATCTAAATCCAACAGGGAAACTGGCATGTTCTGCAGCAGTCCAGCCAGCTCTGGGATCTGAGGAACAGCAGGAGAGATGCAAGTTTGTCAAGGACATTGAAACATCGGCCTTAATAGCCACCAAAGGTTGGGGGATGCAGGCTTCTGAAAGCCTGAGAGACAAACTTACCACGAACGCAACCAGAGAAGCTGAATGCTTCAAGAACAGTGCTGAGTGGCAGCACAGATGGCAGAGCTCAATGACGGAAGCCACACACGTTTTAAGCTTGGCTACTTAAGACTGTTGTACAATTCTCTTCAATTTCTTAAAACAAAATTAATTTTCAACAAAGCTCTGTGGCAAGTGTTTTAATCATTAATACAAATTAAAGCTTCCACATCGCAAGACTTAATGGATCTCCACTGCTGAGGCAAACTGCTAACAAAACCAAAACGTGTGCTTGGATAGGGGATAGACGCAATTTTGTTTCCTGAGATCTATGAACAGGCAGAAAGCAACATGAAGTTTCTGCAATAGAACAGCATCTCTCTCCAGCAACAGTAATCTGAAGATGTTATCTCTTACAAAAGATTTTGGAAGTGAACACGTGAAACACTAAAGGGCAAAAATCTCAACAGCCCTAAGCTTAAGAGAATAGTGTGCATTCTCTTTACAAGCCTGACCTTGACAATTTTCTGATGCGGAAGGGTTACTTTTGAACATTACAGCAAGCTTGATAGAAATGAGGTCCTTTGTGGAGGAGGAGAGCAAGGACAGGATAAATATTTCCAACTAGGTGGAAAGAATGGAATGAAAAACCACTCCCAACTGGAGAGCAGGGCTAAAAAGGGATAAGTTGGTTGTATTTGCAAGCTTTTAAAGAACCATACTGAGAGTGAGGGAGGAAAAATTACCCTTAGTCGGGCTTGTGAAGATATTTTATGTTTAATACATCTGAAAAGAATGCATATACAAAGAACTCAGACATGAAAAAGCATTGGTTCAACATTAATGAGTCTACAAGAATTAGGAATTTGGGAAGTGGAGAGGATTCCCCATGTATTACAAAAATTTGGATCTGCAAGCCAAAACAGTTTTGGTAAAAACCCTATTAACACTGGAGTCTAAAGATCTCATACATGATCCTTAGTAGACTGGAACCCATCTTACAGGGTCACTTACATGCACGATGCAGATCAAGAGGTTTCCCGTAAGTGGTCCCTACGGTGCCATACCAAACACTAGACATGCCCCCCTCCCTTACAATTCTTTCCTTTTGA